TCTGCCTTCCGCCGCCATGGCCCTCTCCCCCTGATGCCTTTTCCCGTTTTGATTCACGACGGCAGTTCGTCTTTGCGGAACCATTCTGATTTCATTGCTCCAAAGTGACCCGACCTCTACAGGACTTCGCGGCGACAGTTCGACTCCGGCGTGACCTCTGGCTTAAAACGAGAGCCTCCCGTTTCTACCGGGAGACTCAACCCCCACGGCCAAAAATCCTCGGCCACGCCCCTCCTAGGACTCCGATCGGCGACCCCGTGCGGGAAGCTGTGAGGGGGCGTGAGGTTGCGCATCACAAGCTATCTCAAAGTTCGGTGACCTATGGCTCGACCCCCAGAGGAAGATGGCAGATATACACGATGATGGGACATTGATAGGGAAGAACTGGCTTGCCAAAGAAAAGCACTGGCGGTTGAGACCGTGTGCTGCCGGGCAGAAAAGCAGATGCATTGATACTGGATCGTGCACCCGTAGGAGGAACTCCTCAGTCTTGTACCTAAACTCCCCTCTCTTCCTCCCTACCCCAGCCTCCGCTCCCTCTCTCTCAAACCCCGCTCACCCTGCCTCCACCGTTGGCCCCGTACCCCTCTCCTTCGCCTCCCCTCCCCCGTACTGCTTATCCACCCACCCCCTCGTCGCCTCCTCAATCTCCCAACCTTCCCTCCCTCTCTTTAGCCCGGCCTGGCCCCCCCCTCCACCTACCCTGGCCGGCCCGACCCTCCTAACCTCACCACCTCCCCTTCACGTGGACCCCCCCTCGCCTACCCCCCCACCTCCCTCTCACCACGAATGGTGTTCAGCCCCAACATTGGTATCCCACCCACGGCCTGGTGACCCAGGTTCAAGTCAGCAGGCTATGCACAATGGACAATTGACAGCGGTCCTCCACAATGAGGGTGGCCACTCCGGCTATGACAATAGCAGCCAAGAAGATCTCAAGCGTTCTCAGATTCAGCAACAGGACAACATGCAGGAGGGTGGTGGTTGTCCAAGATGACAACCGAGGACAAAGAAAGGGCCCATTCCCCCCAGCTGGAACAGGGGCCAAAGGGGGGCAAGGCCCGCCCTTCCATTCTGCGAGCACCAGCAAACAACCTACCTCCCCCATGCCTCAGGAGACAGGCAACAGGCAACATTAAGGATAGGGAATCCTCAGTACATTAGTCAGTTGTCTGATCACTGTCAGTCACGGGAATGTTTTGTAATATGAGGGACACCGGATCCGGTTTCCAGCAGGTGCTTCTCCCTACGCGACGGCCGACGAAGAAAGGGCCCATTCCCCCCAGCTAGAACAGGGGCCAGAGGGGGGCAAGGCCCACCCTTCCATTCTGCAACTCGGAGCACCGGCAAACAGCCTACCTCCCCCATGCCTCAGGGGACGGGCAACAGGCAACATTAAGGATAGGGAGTCCTCAGTACATTAGTCAGTTGTCTGATCACTGTCAATCACGGGAATGTTTTGTAATCTAAGGGACGCTGGACCCGTTTTGCAGCAGGTGCTGCTCCCCACCACCATTATGCCTACAACTACACTTTCAGTTGCACACTAAGTGGACGACACTGCCTCTACACAGCGGCTATCCTTGGTTGGCGTCAACCGAGCCAACAGAACTACAGTTTGGAACTGGTTTTGGGACCTTGGCATTTGGGTCTCCCCATTACAACTGTACACCTACGTCGCCTAAGGCGTATGTGCATCTCAATTTCTTACAATGTTGTCAATCTACGTACAACAGGCATCTAACAACATCAACGGTTTCAGTGGCTCGATGTGACACTCACGTACGCTGAAGTGCAGCCTCGCTGGTCCGGCCGGTCCCACTGCCCTGCCCTCGGACATTATAAGTCACAGGCGCCTGTCCGGCCACAATAGCTTGTGAGCCTTCCCTAGTTGCGCCCTCCAGAGCCCGACCGCTCGCAGCATTCATTGCAAACTCAAATTTGAGCGCACGCCACACGAGGGTCGGGTCTTATAGAGGTCGAGTCCTTCTCCTCACCTTGTTTTGGCCTACTAACTCTCAGAGCGCAGTCCTTGGGGTCTCATTGTCCGTCTGTTGCACAGTCATACCGCTAGCTATGGTCGTCGTCATTCAAGTCGATCACCGGTCAGCGGTCTTCAGTCAGTTCTTCCTTGTTTGTTTGTCCCGCCCGAGTAGGTCCGCCTCTCCTTCACCTCCGCATCTCACCATAAACCCATCTGCCTGCAAAATTGAAAATCGCCCACCTACCCAACTCGCCGTTGGCACCAACCCGCCTCCCCACAACCAACCCACCAAACCCGCATCCCCGTTCAATCCGTCCCAGTTCCACTCCCTCGCTTCCGTCAACCCACTGTCTTTCGACCCCTTCTCTCGTTCTTTCCCTCCAACTTCACTGTTCTCACTAAAGAAACCCCTTTTGATGAACAACTGGCTAGCATATTCTCCTCTCTCACCACTCCCCTGTGCTCCTTCATAACTCCTCCCTCTGTTATCGTTAACGAAAATATCCAATGCATTTTCGAATTGGACCTCCAACAGCCTCACTTCTTCCACTTCACCTTTTCTCTCTCCCGCTAATTCTACCCAGCACTCTCACTTCATCACAGTCAAGCTTCGTAGAAAGAAGATACGGGTCAAACCTTGTCACTAGCGATCTCTTAGAATTTGTACAAAGTGTCGCATTTTGCACCTTCCAGAATGGGGCACACTCGTTCTTCCTCCTGCTGCAAGATCAAGCGATGAAACTGCTTTCTCACT